ATCTAACCTTTCATTTCCATATAATTAGCTATTTTAGGTCTCAATTATCCTCTTTGACCTTCCTATTACTTTGACACATGCCAACACATCTATACAAACTTCCATCCCTATTTCACTTATTAATTTAGGGCTATTTCAAACCTACTGCTTAAAGGCTTTATCATTACTTTCTAAATTAGTCATAAAATCTTAATATGATTTATAAGAATTTTTTTATTACCAAAGGGTAAGAAAAAAATCCTTAAAACTTCTTAATTTAATTTCTCTTTTACTTAAGCTAAGATAAATTAGGGTAGAATTGGAAAGGTAGTACGAAATTTACCCGGTAAGTGACTGGTTGAAAACACCTCCCTAGCACCCAAAATTGGTTGCCCTAGCAAAGATCACTCTGCTCATCCTTCATTTCATGTTTTCTCCTCTCTCTCTCCCTTGTGTCCCACAAGATGGTCTACATCCTTAAAAGTTAGATTTCTATGCCATGTGCCGCAACACGTGCTACATATGCGATGATGTGTGACAGTGAGGAAAATTCTCACTGTGCTCTCATGTTTCGCTTCATAATGCCATTCTTTTACTCAATCATATACATTCAACATCCTAACAAATCAAACACCTATTCACCATCCAAAATCCTAATCACACACTAATTTACTAATTTACCCCTAACTGACAATTAATTTCTAGAATTAGGAATTTAGGATGTTTAGTTCTTTCCTCTTTTTAAGAATTTTTTTTCCCAAAATTCACAATTTACACACACACCCCCCTAAGGAAATGGATGCCAATACCATTGCCTCATTTGATCCTTTATCTCTTAGGTAGCATCATCAGAAGTCATACCTCACTAAAAAACCTTTAATAAGAGAATAGTCTTGTTTCTAAGTTGCTTGTCTCTCACATCTACTATTTGTTTTGGCTCAGCCTTATATGTGAAGTTCTCTTGTAGCTTAATCTCCTTCAGTTCTATGACATGAGAGGGGTCTGGTTGGTATTTCTTGAGCTGTGACATATGGAATGCATCGTGGACACCTAATAACAACAGTGGTAAGGCAATCTTGTAGGCAACAGGTCCAATTCTTTCTAAAATTTCAAATGGACTAATGAATCTAGGAATTAATTTCTTAGCTTTAATTGACCTCCCAATTCTAGTCACTAGGGTAACCTTGGGAAACACGTGATCACCCACCAAAAACTCTAACAGCCGACGACGTCCATCTGTGTAACTATTCTATCTACTCTAAACTATTAACAACTTCTGCCTTATCATCTCAATTTTTTGAATCATTTGATCCATGACATCTGGTCCCACTATACTCCTTTCGCTCAATTCTATCTAACATAAAGATGATCTATACTTCCTCCTATATAACGCCTCATATGGTGCCATTTGAATATTGGAGTGATAACTATTATTGTAGGCATTTTTCTTAGGTTAGACCTTGCCTCATTTTGCGTGCCAAAACACTATACTCATATAAGTCCTTGTCGGAACATTTAGCCGCCTTATAAAATGTGTCCTTAATTTATGTGCTTTAAAATAATATTTATTATATGTAATTGTTTCATTTAAATCCAAAAAGTTATAAGACACTCTCTTGATAACTTGACAACATCCATTGACAATATGGCAAAAGCTAATGAAAAGTAAGGCATCGGCCAATGAAAAGTGATACTTGTTTTGGTACAAATACTTTCCTTTAAAATAGAACAACTTATAATGCACGCTATTGACAACTTGGCAATGTCCATTGACCACATTGCAAAGGCTAATTATGAGTGAGAAATGATTCGGTGCAATACCTTCCTTTAAAATTCAACAAGTTATAAAACACTATTGACAACTTGACAACATCCATTAACCATATGGCAAGGGCTAATAACAAGTGAGGCATCAGCTAGCAATAACTAATAATTGATTAGGTGTAATACTTATTTTTTTGAAACTGAACAAGTTATAAGACACTTGTTGACAACATCTATTAACCACATGGCAAAGACTGATGACAAGTGAGGCGTCAAACAATAATAAGTGATAATTGATTAGGTACATTAATACTTCCCTTTAAAATTAAACAAGTTATAAAATACTCTATTAACAACTTGATAACATCCATTGACCACATGACAAAGGCTTATAATAAGTGAGGCATTGGCTAGTGACTACAAGTGAGAATTTATTAGCTACAATGCTTTCCTTTAAAACTGGACAAGTTATAACATTCTATTAAAAATGGTCATACCTACAAGGTAAAGCCAATTGAAATGACTCTCTTTCATCTACTTTCAACTCCAAAAGGGCAAATTAGTTATTATCATTTCAATATTATTTATGGATTTGGTGGGAGTATTTTGAATGATTGTAAGGAATTTCATGGTGATTTCCCTAAAAAAAATACTCAAGCACTTGTAATTTTCTTTGTGGGTGGAGCTTAGTAATCAATGTAAATGAATGCTTGATGCATAGCCCATGAACCTCAGGTCAAAGTCTTTCGCCTTGCCTTGCTAGAGAAAATAATAAAAAACAAACAAACAATAGAGGGTAGGTAGCTCGTAAATTTTGACTTAGATGTATAGCATCCACGCAAAATGAGACTCCTTAGTACGCAAACAAGATTAATTTGTTGGCAGATGATAAATACAGCAAATTTGAAATTTGAGTTTTGAATTCTGAATATACTGTCCCTATCATTCATACATTAGAAAGTCCTCTATGTTGAATTAAAATAGTACTCCTTTTAGTAATACATATAAATTTTCTTTTAGAAAATTGATTGTTCTTTTTATTTTTATAAGTCACTTTGTATGCTATTAATTACTTCTTTCTAATTCTATCCTTTTATAATTTTTTATGAATAAGATAAAAGATTGCATATAGTTGGAGGAATGTTTTTAAATATTATAAGGGTAAATTGGATTTTTTCCCAGAAAAGTCATACAATTTTTTTTTAAATAAAGGATCAAATTATACATAAACATATAGTGAATTTACATCAGTTAAATACACGACAGGGGATTAGAATCATGGTAATGCTTCCTTATGTAATTTACCTAGAGCCGGGCGTGTTTGCTTATATGGATTCGGGTTTATAAGTTGTTTTATTTTAAAATTGGCCATTTTTCAAGTTTGATATCTCCTGAGCTCCTTTTTTTTTAAAATTAAGTTTATTATTATAATATTATATATTTATTTTCTAAAGTATAAATTAAAATATTATAAATTTCAAAATAAGCAATTTTTTTTAATTAGGGAAGGAGCACTAAGCTTAACTATTTAGTACTTAGTGCTACGGAGAAACAAAATACAAATTCAAATGTTATAAATTTTATTTAAAATAAGTAATACAAATTTTAATTTTAAAATACAAACACATGTTTTGAAGTTTAAATTTAATCTAAAAATAAATATCATAAATTTTTGAAATTAAAATAAATATGGGCTTAAAAAGTAGCGTGAGCTCCTTTTTTTTTTTTTAAGGCTTTTTTATACTAAAACACCTCAATTACCAGGTCCTAAACTTAAAAAAAAAAAAAGAAAAGAAAACAGAAAGGGAGAGAGGCTTTAAATGGATAGTCTGATGGGCCAAGTTTCTATTGCTAGCCTTGCCATTCGCTTCAGGGTAAAAAAAAAACAGAGAGAGAGAAAAAATTTATAAGTTTTTAAAAGAATTAATTATAATTAGATCTCACATAAATAAATTAATTACTATAAATTTTATTGACATATGAATTAAATTATATTGTCAATTAATTTTATAGTAATTAATTTTTTTACAAAATTTTATTATAATTTTTTTAAATCTTTACAGTTTTACTGAACTTTAAATTAGTTGCTTAGAGTTTATTTTGTTTTAAAATAATTTTTTTCTTAAAAATAAATCAATCCAACAAAGTCATTTCTTCGTAGCGTCCTGTCAAACTTTCCAATCCCATTATCCAAGAGCTTTCCTTTTGCTTGCCTTCCCTTTTCCTCTTCAGCTGATAGCCAATTCCATTAACGCGGCTAGACTCGGCCACTTCCTCTTGGATTCCGATGATGGAAGCTTGGAACTCTAGTTTCTTCTTTACCCAGCAATTTCAATGAACTTATGCAGCGAAATCTGGTACGAAAGTCTTTCATAATTTGCTCTGGTTTATATACCATTTAAGTATCCATTTGATGTTTGAGTCTCATTCTGATTCCAACCAAGATTTTAAAGTTGATATTAGCCTTCTTGCGATTGTTTCTTCAATTATTGGCCAAGAAAACTTAATCAAGCGGATTAGAAAAAAAAATGCTATCTATATGCATATAGGAAGGAGCCAGACGTGTGGCAGAAATGATTAAAATTAAAGAAAAGTATCCTCTACGTTAGCATAAGCAGAAAATAATTTGATGCTAAAAGTCCATTATGTTGAACTTTATATAATATAAATGGCCTTAACTTTCCTTTCTTTAACATGATCTATTGGTTTGTTGATAGAAAACATTAAATTGAATTTGAAGTTTGATTTTTGATTTCTGAATTATTCATACATTTGAAAAGTCACTATTTTATTCAACAAGCAATAGAATACAATATTTCTAACTTAAGAGCACCTAGTCAACCTGCATGCTTCTAGCTGGCTTCACTTTCAATTTGGGTCACATCAGGATCGAGGCTATATTTATTTGTTATTGTGGAGACCAATTCATTAAACCAATGGCCATTCTTCCTTATTTACTTGTTCTTCTCGATCTACTTTTGTTCTTCTCCAGATTTTCTTTTGCAGCTGATACCATTACCCAGCTCGAATCTCTTATTGATGGCAAAACCTTGGTTTCAAAAAATGGGATCTTTGAATTGGGTTTCTTCAGCCCAGGTAGTTCCACAAACCGTTACATTGGAATATGGTATCACAAAATCCCAGGTAGAACTGTTGTTTGGGTTGCCAATCGTGACAAACCTGTCAAAAACAACTGCATGTTGAGCATAAACATTGAGGGACATCTTGTGCTTCTCAACCATGACGAGACTGTCGTTTGGTCAGCAAATTCCACCACAAAGGCCTTGAGTCCAATTGTGCAACTCTTAGACTCTGGAAACTTGGTTCTAAGAGATGCAAAAGAAAAAGATCCCCAAATCTACCTGTGGCAAAGCTTTGACTATCCTTCTGATACTCTTTTGCCTGGAATGAAGATTGGATGGGACCTAAGAACTAGTCTTAATCGACGTTATATAGCATGGAAGAATTGGGATGACCCCTCTTTTGGAGACTTCACATTAGAGCTTACACATCACAATTATCCTGAAGTAATAGCTTGGCAAGGCCCAACAAAGTATATGAGGAGTGGCCCTTGGAATGGTGTCCGGTGGAGTGGTGACTCTCATGCATTGAAGAATCCACTGCATGAATCAAAGTTTGTGTGGAATAAGGATGAGGTTTATGGAACATATGATGTCAAAAACAAGTCACTGATTACAAGATTTGTCTACAACCAAACGTTGTACTCAGCAATGGACGTAATGTGGATTGAAGATAATCAAAGGTGGATTACATTTAGTTTTATGCCAATTGACAATTGTGATAGATATAATCGTTGTGGCCCAAATGGAATTTGCATCATTGGTGAGACACCAATATGCCAGTGCATGGCAGGATTCCTACCAAAATCACCCCAAAATTGGAATGCCATGTACTGGACTGAAGGATGTGTCCGCAATAAATCCTGGAGTTGCAAGGAAAATAACAAGGATTATTTTGTGAAATTTAGTGGGATGAAATTGCCAGATACTACATATTCTTGGGTTAATGCAAGTTTGACGCTTGAGGAATGCAAATCCAAATGCTGGGAAAATTGTTCTTGTACTGCTTATGCTAATTCAGATATTCGTGCAGGAGGTAGTGGTTGTGCCCTATGGTTCCATGATTTAACCGATATAAGGCAGATTGCTTTTGAGGACCAGGATATATATATTCGTCTTGCCTCTGCACAAACAAGTATGGCATTTTAGTTCTGATTTTTCATTAGTAATCTTTGGGTGCTTTAGCAACCTCAACTTTTTATCTATTAACTGTTAGTTGAATTCCTTGTGAAGCTCAACATAATGAAGCTAATGGAAATAAGACAAAGGTGATTGCCGTAATAGTGACCACTGTGTTGGCTCTTGTAATGCTTTTGATCATTTTCTTTTACATTTACGGGCACGGAAGAAACTCTACAGGTACCATTACTTATATGCTTTTATGGACAATTAAGTTTTGAATGAAAATGATAGAGCTTGATTCCATTATGTTTCTAAAAGAACAACATGTTTTCCTTTGTTTTTTGCTTTTTTAGTATTTCTTACATTTAGTTTATTAAAATGTAATGGAGCTACCTATAAATGATATTGAAAATATAGCTGGTGCTACTAATGTCTTTTCCCCTCTTTATATCTACTTATTTCATTCAGTTTGCAAAAGTGAACTAAGAAAACCTTGTTGGCAGCAAACAAGGAAAAAGGCTCAGAAGGAAATATGGAGCTGAAAACCTTGTTAGCAACAAACAATGAAGAAGTCTATGAAGGAAATATGGAGGTACATATTTTTGATCTTGCAGTAATAGCTAATGCTACTAATAACTTCTCATCTAAGATGAAGCTTGGCCAAGGTGGTTTTGGACCTGTATACAAGGCACGTATGCAATTAACTTGTTAGTAAGAGTAGAAAATTACATTCAATCCACTCATGATTTGTGATATTACATACTGACAATAATTTATATGATGTAAAATTGGTAGGGTATACTTCCAAATGGACAAGAAATTGCAGTGAAACAACTTTCACAAAACTCTCACCAAGGATTGGTTGAATTTAAGAATGAAGTCAAATTGTGTGCCAAACTTCAGCACCGCAATCTTGTTAAGGTTCTTGGTTGTTGCATTGAAGGAGAAGAGAAAATGCTCATATATGAATATATGCCCAACAAGAGCTTAGATTCATTTATTTTTGGTTTGTATGGATAAATAACTATTCGTTGGTAAGCTTTCTTCCTTTTCTTTAATTTCTCCTTGGATAGTGATAAATGTCATTCCATAAATTTCTAGGTACTTCAAGTCAATTTCTAGATTGGCTCAAGCGCTTTCACATTATTTGTGGAATTGCTCGAGGACTTATGTATCTTCATCAAGATTCTAGATTAAGAATTATCCATAGAGACCTTAAGTTAAGTAATATATTATTAGATATTGAATTAAATCCAAAAATCTCAGATTTTGGATTGGCAAGAATATTTGGAGGAGATCAAATTGAAGATAATACAAGGCAAATAGTTGGCACATAGTGAGTATGTTTAATGATATTTTGATTTTCTATATTTACACATTATTGAATATGATATTAATTGATTGTAACTTGTAATAGCGGTTATATGGCACCAGAATATGCAATTAATGGACTATTCTCTATCAAATCTGACGTATTCAGCTTTGGAGTAATACTGTTGGAAATGGTGTGTGGCATGAAAAATAGGGGACCTTTCTTATCAGACCAAAGTGTTAATCTTATTGGACATGTTAGCAACAATGAACCTAACTTTGTTTTTATCTTTCTTAAAGTTGTAACTAATAAGATGTTTTGAATTGTTGTAGGCATGGAGATTGTGGAAGGAGGAAATCCCATTGAAATTGATTGACAAACATTTGGGGAAGTCTTATATTGAATCAGAGGTATTGAGATGCATCCATATCGGTCTTCTTTGTTTGCAATGCCATTCTGATGATAGGCCAAACATGACATCTGTGGTTGTAATGTTGAATAGTGAGAGTGCCTTGCCTCAACCTAAAGAACCTGGTTTCCTTCTGGAAACCATGCCAATGAGGGGAGAATTTTCTCCTAACAATCATGCTACTCCTTCAAGCAATGAAATATCTATCACGTTGGAAGCAAGATAATTACTTCTTAATTTTGTAATGAGCTTACCCTTTTAGGACAAGACTAGTTAGCTGCAATAATGAAATATGATGTTGATTCTAAATAGCTCTCTTGATTTGGCATACTGCTTACTGTTTATTTAAAAAAAAAAATCTCTTTTTTGATTGACTCTGGATTAAAACCATTATTAACAATGGCTTTGATAAAATTTGTTGGGATTGACTTCCCAAAAAAAAATAAACAACAGACGTTAGCTCGCAAATTTCGGCTTGTCAATCCTTAATGAAACTTTTTCTATTTGAATTTCATGTGCTTGAATTGAATAGAAAATATTTAATTAACAAATGGAATAGCAAATACGTTATGTGATAGAAATAATTGAACTCATGTGGTATGATTATGTATTGAACAACAATTTTATTAGTTTTATTTGTTAAAAATAAAGCTAGTTTGCTTTACATTAATTGGGGGAAGTAGAAAATATAGTTTTGATGGCATATGACAATTATGTTGAATAACATTTTTTAGTTAAAATAAAAAAGCCTCAATGTTTTTCCCCTCATCATATACACATTAAATTTAAATCCTTTAAAGTTGAGATATGTGAATTTCAATAAAAATTTCCTTTTTTAGTATTTTTTTTATAAAATATAAACTATTTTCTTCAAACCTTTAAAAGGCAAATTTCACTAAAATTTACATATTTAATTTTAGAAGATTTAAATTCATACACATTACTTCAGTATTATTAGAACCAAATTAAACGCATTGGTTCGACCACTAGGATACTAACCATGTATCTAGTTTGAAACACCCTAGAATCAGCTAAAAAGTGAACTGCTAGAAAATCAATTGGAAGCATTCTTAAGCATTATTTTTTTTATTCTTAATACTTTAAAGCTATTTTATTTTTATTTTTTTTTTTTGTTAGTTTTAATTTATTTAATGGTGTGGGTGTGGGTGTGGGTGTGTGTGTGTGTGTGTGTGTAATTAATCTAACATGTTTGATCATTTCAATGATTTATAATGGATGGATGATAAATAGTTTTATTGTAATGTTGATATGATTGACAGTAGATTAAGTATGCAAGACTAAAGATAAAAATAAATATTGTCTAAAATATTTTTATTTGTTATATAACATATTATTTAAATTAATTTAATTAAAATGGATTTGATCCTTTAACCTTAAACCAATATCTTGGTTAGTTTAATGCCTAGTCTAATTTTGAAAACATTGCTTCTAATCAATATTATAACATCCCGAATTTTGGGTTTAGATGCTTAAGAATATGCTAGAATTCAATATGCTACTAAGCTCAATTAATTAGAAGTCCCAAAAAGCACTTAGAAAAGATAGAATGACTCTCAAGGATCAATCATAATTTAATAGTCAATGTGGGGCAAAAGCATAATATTCTTAGAGGTTTCAAGGAAATATTCCTAATTGAGAAATTAATGAGCAAGTTAAAGTCCAGAAGTGTCCAGGATATAGGCAAAAAGGAATAAATGAGGACTAAGAGGTAATAGAGGTAGTTAAGATTAATCTTGGAGAATAATCAGTGAAGTTGTCACATTAAACAAGAGGTAGATTTATTTGACAACTTTATCCCTATGTTCTAAGTCTCCTAAAAAAGGATCATAATTAGATCCTAAAAATCATAGTAGATCCAAAAAGGACTATTGAGATTGCAGTTTGTAACATCCTAGAAATTTGAACTCAATTAACTAAGCTTAATTAGGGTGATTAAGTTTATTGATGAGATGTGTGGCCAAAGAAATCTAGCAAATGTATTTGGTTGTGATTCTAGTCCTAAATTCAGGTCCGAAGTGAAGTCAGATCACATGGATGTGAAAAAGGGAGAAAATCTAAAGGAAGTGGTTTTGAGCCACTTGTCATGGAGCATGTCTATTAATCAGTGAAGGAGAGACCTCTTTGTGCCATGCACTGTGCGTGGTGCATTTGTCATGGCATATTAATGTCTAAATATTACAATTATGATGATGGTTGGGAGTGTTAAATAGTCATTAATGGTTGATTGTTGGCTTAATAGAGCTCGGTAAACCTAATGGGTATGATTGGGAGTGAATTTGTGATTTTCATAAAAAGATAATGTGGAGTTAGAATATTGAAAATTGTTCAAATAAATGATATAATGATGATATCCTTGTGATTTTGTTATAGATTAACCAAATTGGTACCACTCAAGCTTGAGGAAAGCTTTAGGAAGTTGTGTTTTGAGGGATAAACCTTTAACCTCTCAAAGGTTTGAGGTAATCAGGAGAAAATCTAGTTTGTATAGTTGTATGTTAATTAATTATTTGTTGAATGAAATTGTGTAGAACTTGTTAGGTGTTTATAGACTCATTGATATAAATTTTGGCAATGTGATGTGATATATGTGTAACATTGCGTGGGTGGCTAATGATGATATGCATGTTTATACTTATGTGATTAATAATGATGGGTGAGAGCATGTTATTATGAAAATGATGAATATGTGATATTTTGATTTGTGGAGTATAGTAGAGAAAGAAAATTATGTGAACATGATATGATGTGATTAATGTTGTTGAATGGCATACAACTTGTTAATATGTGCATAGCATGATCATTAAGGTAGGAGTTTGCCTATAGGGAGATGATTAGATTGGTAAATCTCCATAGTAATGGCAACTTACTGTTGGAATTGGAAGCTTTCCTTGGAATTGACCGTTAGAATTGAAATGTAGCCATTGTCCTCTAGTTAGTTTAAAACTATCCCACTTGTTCTTCAAGGAACTCGAACCTAACTAATCTTCATCGATTCATGAGGAGGCTAAGTTAAGAGTACGACATCCCATGATTGCTACTATTAGTGCAAACCATGGATCACGAGTGAGTGGGTTTGCCCTGGCCCCATAACTCCTCACAAATAAAAGGCTAGGTTAGTCTAAGTTATAGACATAGCCACTGAATAACCACTAATTTCTTGTCAATGGTATCAAGAGGGTATAAAGTTGGTATTAATCATACATTCTATTTCTGGCAACATGGTTGTCATTATTTTGGTTTGGCATGTTTTCATTATGTGCACATTGTTATTATTGCGACTCCAAGATGTGTATTTTTAAAATAAATGTGATAATATGAATTAGTGCCCAGTCACATGGTTGTTAGCTTTATGGCCAAGGCTATAATCATTATTCATGTATGTGATACTTCTGAAGTTATTATAATTCCATTTGCATCTATAATTAATTGATGAACAACTGTATAGGCTAGATTGACCTTGGTTATTGATTGGTTATAGTCATTCCTCATTTCTTAACATCACAGGGCCTAGCTCATTGAGGGCCTAGCTCATTGAATCAGGATTGGGGAAAATAAATAGAGGTTTAAGATCATGTGAAAATCTTGTCAGTATGCCTCTAGATTTACTTTTATGTGTATTTTGATTGTTAATTTTCCAATTAGGATAGCATAATCAATTTTTGAACTACTTGCACTCATACTTTGATGTTTTGAATGTATTTTGTGCTTAAGTTTGTGTGTGTTGGAGTTGTAGAGCTTAATAGGACTAAAATACTAGTGCAAGTAAGATATTGGGTAATTGGTTGATCATGGTTGAATACTTGATGGATTTATGCAAAGTTAACTCCCCCTAATATTTTTTGTGAATCAACAAGTTGAGTGTTGAAATTATGAATTATGTGTATTGGATTGAATGTGGTATGTTGCACATGTCCATAATAGTCTATTAAGTATGGTCTAAAGGTTGGTATAGGCTTTTGACACTTGCTATGGTTTGGGCACCCTACTTGTGTGTTATGAAAAAGGAAAGTGATTTGAAAAGGATGTTTAACTTTTGATAGAAAAATGATTTGAATAAGAAATTAGTGCCATTAGCTAGAGCTAGGAGAAAACTTTCTATAGACACCTAGATCACCTTAATCAAATATCGAACCGAAAAATGGGATGTGTTGAAAGTTCTTCTTGAGTGCTATCATTTGACAGTAGAATGCTGTCAAATTTGTGCAATGTGCCGTGGTGTATGGCACCTCCACCATGGTGCATGCACAGAGATAGATGAGCCACGGCGCATCTGTAGTGAGTCGTGGTGCATCATGCTTTTTGTAATGTCCACCTTCACATTACTAAAATTCACCATACAATCACAATAAACAATCATAATTAAGAACAAGGATTGCTTCTAAGCTTACATTATATATATAAGGGTTAGAACTAATAATCTTTTAAAAATAATTGTGGAAAATTTAGGATCCCATAAAAACCCTTCAAATTTATAGTTTGAGCTCAAACTTAATGATTTCTAAAGGTACTGAAAGCATGAAAAAGTTTTAGAAAGCAAAACACTTAAAAATAGGGCCAAAAATGTCATTTTTGAGTATTTTGGTGCATGCACTGCAGCATGTGGCACAAAAAGGCAAATTTGGCTGCTGTATCATACACCATGACTTGTGCACAATACACCGCGGCGTACGTGTCCTGTTATGATAGCTTTTTGGGATGAACTTTGAACATGCATCATTTTCACATTCGATATCAGATCAGAGTGATTCAAGCACCCATGCAAAGCTTATTCAATAGGCTAAATAATGGTACAAATTTAGTTATGATCTAATACTATATGAGAATTTTAGATACTCAGATGTAAAAGTCAATTTTTAAAGTGATTTTCAAGCATCCATATACCCAAAACTCAAAACATATACTATTAATCCATTTTAAGGCTTGAACCAAGTCTAATGGACCAAAATATATCTGATTAAGCATTCAAATATACAAAAACATACCAAACATAAAATTTGGCCAGTTAATGCCAGTTTCACCCAATATGATCAAAATACAAAATCAACACCACATACACTATTTGGCCTATATTGCCACATAATATACCGCATATACATTATCACCACATGTATACAACATTCCTTATACTTGTATTTGTATTTTAGCCCATTATCATAAAAAGCACCACATATACACATCAGATACAATGTTGGGCTAAAATACAAAATATCATAGTCTAATACAAGTGCAACTAATCAAAATGACATGCATTTCTAATTGGCAACTCTTGTTATCATACATATAATTTT